TACCGGTGGGGATGCCTGGGTCGATGGTACCGGGCTGCTTCGCTCCACACCACACGAGTCAGAGCCTTAGAGCCCAGGGGGGATCGAGGGCTGCCCAGCGCGGGACCAGTCTCTCCCTTGTCCTTATGGCAGTGTCGTTGCGAGGCCGAGCCCTTCCCTCACTTTTTGGAGGGAGAACGGCACCGACTGGTCGAAGGGGCCTCGCTACATACCAACGCACTGGCGTTGGAGTCAGTGCCGACTCCATCAGGAGAGCTCAAAGTCTGAGGTCTCTCTCCTTCTTGGTTCTTGGCTTGAACGACCTACAGATCTTGCAGCGGTCACTTATGTGAGTCTCACCCAGGCAGTGAAGACAGTCAGCGTGAGGGTCGCTCCTGGGCACAGAGCAGCGACAGGAGTCACACGACTTGAAGACTGGGGCATGCCCCGAGCCCGCTCTAACGACTGAAGAACAATGGACAACGGTACCACTAAGGTCGAGAAGAAGGGCTGCAGCAGAGCTGGAGCACAAAAGTTCCGACTACCTTCACTGGCGGCAAGAAGGAACTGAGGGTGGGGGGAGCCCGTAGCTCCCCTTATAGCGCGATATACAGGCGCCACTCCAGGGGTCGCAGCGCTGCTGCCCCAGTACGGGTACTGCTAAGGGAAAAACTTCCGGCACCGGTGCACGTGGCGACCACGCACACCTACTGTGGAATACGCAGGAGCAATCACTCGAAGAAGAACTACAAGCTGCCTTGTCTTCACTAGGATTTAACCCTGAGTTCGCACACCTTTTTAAACTAGTGAAGACAGCTAAACTGAGTTAATATATTTTTTTTCTAATGAAGATAAAGCCTTGCAAAGACATGCATGAAGACTTGCATATGATTTGCATATGAGCATGACTAAAATACACAATTGTGGGACTGGCTGATGTATACTCCCTAAACAAATAATTTTTTATACCACACATCCCACTCATTGGTCAGACTAGCCTATTCTCCTTTGTAAAACAGAGCCAACTTAAGTTTCTTTTTTCACAAAAAAAACCATACTTTTCACACTTTCTGTAATATTAAAGACCCAAGATAGGTGTACTTACTGGTTTTAGTTGACTTAAGGGGCATACTCTACATGTTCGCATGTCATAGAATTGAACAGTGATTCTTCCTTTTGGTGTGATGCGCGTCACTGTGCCTTCTCCAAATTCATCATGAACGACTTGTCCACCTAATCTCAAGCGACTGTCTATTCCACCAATCACTGCTAGTACAGCCATTAAGCCTCCCACCTCTGGATTCTCAGAATCAGTGAAGTAATCTTCTAAAACAGCCTGAAAAAGAATAGTAAAATTAACTGTAAGGAGAAAACTAGTACTTTTATCTACTTCATAAAAAAAAGAATATATAGTCAATCCAGTTGAAAGTTACAATACGAAAAATAATTTTTATATAAAATAATTTTAAAATTAAGCTTTAACACTGTTAAAATAGTTTTAATATTTAAAACATTAAAAATTAACACTTCTATAGAAAAATGAGCTAATTTTAAAACGTGGAAACTACCCCTTCTGACTGTTTTCCTGCAAAGATGTGGGTGATGGAGGTTAGTTGAGAGTTGATGTACTTGTTTATGAGTCCATTCCACTGGCTTAGTGAATGGAGTGTCCTCAGCAGTGCCACTATCTCTTCTGCCAAAGTACTGCTGTGAGTTGCAGTTAGAGATGCTTGAGGCCTGGCCTTCCTCCTCCTCAGAGTAGATTCTGAAAAGAAATAACAGCATCTCAGTAGCTGATTTAAGATAGGAAAAACAAATGAAACCATTAAGGAAAAAATTGCTCTACCTCTGAGTAGTGGGATATCTGAAGAGCAAGTACTAAGTAGACTGCCTAGGAAACCAAATAGTTTTTCCACAAGAAATTTCATGTCTCTTGATCTTTCAGTTTTGTCCCAGGATGGAAGTACCGCTTTTAATAAATGCACAGCAAGGATCTAAAAGGAGATAGTAGAATTAGTGTTATTTTATTTAAAGTCATTTCAGCAAATAAGTTCTATAGGATCAGGGGTCTAAAACAAGGACATTTCGAATTAGAAATATCTATATGGAGATAAAAGACTTAACTACGAGCCATCTTTTGTGCTGTTCTCTACAATGTTGGTTGCTGAAACTTAATGGTCCATAGCTACCTAGTTATTTTCTTGTTTGTTTGCCTATTCATCAATATTAAGAGGAACTGTGCTACTTTAATACTAGTATTAGTTGTATTTAACATAGTGTTGCCAGCCCTCCAGGATTGTCCCAGAGACTCCAGGAATTAACGATTAATCTTTAATTAAAGACTGCCATGGGATAAAATCTCCAGGAATATGTCCAATCAAAACTGGCAATCCTAATTTAACACAGCCCAGCATCAAAGCACACAGAGCTCCATAGAGCTACACACAGATTGGCAAAAAGTAAGATCACGATCATAAGACTTGAAAACAAAGAAGTATCAGAACAGGATACTTTAAATGAGAGGATGGGGAACGAGATGTGGTTTAGATTCCAAATATGAGAACCAATAACAGTCATACTAATACACATTTTTGGGTGAATTAGTTTACACCCTAACTCTATCCCAGTTAAGGCACAGGAGCCTAACAATGTAAGATGTAATGTATCCGAGTGCAAACAGCAGCCAGAACAATGCTTGAGGAGCTTTTCACATATAGCCAAGGCTTAGTATCACTGTCTCTCAACTTAGCAAATAAATATGCATCTGCATTTTAAGTTGGAAAATTGGTTTTCTTTCTGGGAATGAACTCTCTGAGTCCGATACAAGTAGGTTGCATCTTTCTTACAATATACACCTAGGGGGGGAGGGATAGCTCAGTGGTTTGAGCATTGGCCTGCTAAACCCAGGGTTGTGAGTTCAATCCTTGAGGGGGCCACTTAGGGATCTACGGCAAAATCAGTACTTGGTCCTGCTAGTGAAGGCAGGGGGCTGGACTCAATGACCTTTCAAGGTCCCTTCCAGTTCTAGGAGATAGGATATCTCCATTGATTTAAAAAAAAAAAAAGGACAGAGCATTGGTATGTCTTCAGAGTCCAGGACTCCAGACTTTTGTCACCATCCTTCCAGGCCAGATGCGGTGGTGTGATGGTTACTTATTAAGCTGGACTATTCTCCAGTCAACAAGAACAGCCTTGTCTTCTGGGCCCTGGACACTAAGAGAAGACTGATCCACCTTCACCGAGGTGTCTCTAGATAAGTTTTGAGTCAGGCATATAAAAACAGTGGCCCACCACAAGCTATCTACACTGATCACCTTTCCCTGGAAGAATGATGTCTGCAGTCACGGAGCCAATGCACGAGGGCTCTCTTTCTGCAGTTCCCAAGAGGACTCCCTCACAAATGGAGCTCCTTTTGGCTTTTTGCAGCTCCATTTGTTTTATCATGCTGAGGAAGTGCTCCCATTTTTGTCCCTAACCCCTGGCAGAGGAGGAAGAAATGCTCTCTACTGCCCCAAAATTGGCTTCAAAATTAGGGTAAGAGTGAAGTAGGAGAGTTGAAATACCATTATGTTTAGCTGGCTGGATACAAAGAATCTCATAGGGGTGAGAACACAACTTAAATCCTGCATGAGTGCGTCTGAACTGCCTCTGGTATATACTGAAAGAAAGTCCCAGCCTAAATGTATCAGATTGAGGAAGAGATCAGAATCATGTTTGTATATTCCAGCCCTAAATTAATTGGCAGAGCTACCTTTGAGAAGATGCAAGCAGCAGAAAAGCACCATTAGTGGAGAATTATACATTCAAATCTTGTGTACAGAAGAAATGTATTTACAATGGAAAAGCTACACAAGCAATAGAACTGTACACTGATGTGTCATATTTGACTGGTAACCCCTTCCTCAAGCCTGTTTTAGATCACTCACTCTTTACTACCAACATGAATGCAAAGATACAGCATGCCAATAAAAAAAGGACAGACAAGCTAAGCAATTTGGTTATTTTATTTAAAATAGTTTGAGTTTGTTCATTCTTCTTTAACGGTCTGTGGTGGTTATAGAGACTGTGTGCATAGCCAATTCACCTCCCTTTTTAGTAGCTTTTATTATTAGGTCCACAGTAGCCAACCAACACTCTCTCTTGCATTGAACAACATTTTACATAACTTTGCTATGCAGTGTTAACTTGCAGGAGGATTTTTAAAGCAAGAACATTCTGATATTACCTTTCCTCCAACTCAAGAAAATAAAAGGCACCTTCAAAACTGTTTACTTTTAAAACTGTACTGTAACAAGACAAAAAACTGCCAAATTCACTGCATATGAAAATGATCTGGAAACACATTACCTGTCTCTGTAGTGATGCAGCAGTGAAAGATTCATGCCCCTCCACAATTTTCATTAGCAAAGTTATCCACTGAGATGTGCTAAGCGTGCTGCACATCTGAGGCATGAGTGCTATACTTCGAATGAATCCTAACGTGCACCAGCTTCTATGCTGCTCTTTATAAACCAACTTATTTGGCAACGAAGCTGGAAATAAAAATACATGAACAGCTGACTTTTCTGCCAACTGTACCACAATTTCTCAAAATGATCCACTTTGTTAGACAGATCTTAAAGCTCTGCTACAAAATTGCCCCTAAATATAAAGTTAACTGACTTCCAATTTAGTTCAAGTCCATTAAGAATTAACTTCTGGCATACTCCAGGAAAGAGAGAATATCTATTGCAAGCAAATTCTCACCCACACACTGACTATACTACCTTACAATTCTGCCATTTTGGAAAATTTGCTTAAAGTTACTGTTATTATAAAGTATCAGAGGGGTAGCCGTGTTAGTCTGAATCTGTAAAAAGCAACAGAGGGTCCTGTGGCACCTTTAAGACTAACAGAAGTATTGGGAGCATAAGCTTTCGTGGGTAAGAACCTCACTTCTTCAGATGCAAGAAGTTGTTATTATAAAGATGATATATATCATCAAATTTATGATTTGCCTGATTATAAAGTCATGCTGTCCTTCCCAACCTGAAAAGTCCTTTTTGACTTAAGATTCCTTATAATGGAAGCCATTTACAGGTTGGACAGTCTGGACTTTGTATAGTGTGCGGCACACCAGCACTAACAGATAAATGTGTATTCTATCCACAAAACAATTTGTGATTTTTCCACAAATATGTAAAATTGATGCTTTGAGAAGATCTAAATGTGTTACTGAACATTGACCTTAAAAGATTAGGAATTAAATAAAGGAATTACTGAAAAATCAGGTAAGATATACTGCCTGAAAACAGATGGGTTTATTTGGTCAGACTATGTCATGTAACACATACTTGATTTATCTATCGTTCCACTCTCCACCAACATGCGAAGCAATCCACACAAAGTTCTGGTCGCTTCATTCTGCATGACTTCAGCATGGACTCCAGCAGAGAGAGAGAGCGTCTGTAACAAGTTCACGGTACTCATCAGCATCGTGGAAGTGGGGTGAAGGTTCCTTTCAGCTTGTTCTCCTTCTGGAGCAATAAACGAAAGCTAAATAATTACTTTAGCAACATGCTAACACGGTAAACAAAATGTTCTGAAACAGGTAAAAGAACTGCAGTTCTTGGAGATGTATGTCCCTATGGGTGCTTCGCTTCAGATGCACATGCAATTCTCAAACATTTGATTAGAGATTTTCTACTAGTAGTACCAGTCTGGCCCGTACACATGCCCTATGCCTCCTCGCACTGTACACTGAGGCTATACAGAGACATGCAGACAAACCTCCCTCAGTCCCTTCTCCACTCGAATGTCTCCACAGAGGGGAAGATTGGGAGGGTAGTAGAGCACCCACAAGGGGACACATCTCAAAGAACTGAAGTTACTGCACAAGGTGAGTAACCTCTTCTTCAAGTACTGTCTGTATGAGTGCTCCATTTCAGGTGACTTCTGAGCAGTTTCCCCAGAGGAAGGAGGAAGCATTGGAACGGAGTCCAGAACTGAAGACAGTACTGCAGTACCAACTGCCACATCAGATCTGACATCATGGCTTAAAGCTTAGTGCTTTGAAAATGCATGTACGGAAGCCCATGCAGTAGCCCTACATATATCAGACACTAGTATTTTCTAAAGCAATGCCATGTATTTTGCTTGTGACTTGGTAAAATGTGCTGTCACCCCTTGAGGAGGATGAGGATGAATGCTTGCAGTCTCATAACAAGTGACAATACAACCAGATATCCACCTGGATAGTTTCTGACCAGAGATTGTGGACCCCTTGGATCTATTCACAAAGGAGATGAACAGCCTAGGTGACCTCTGAAATTACTTGATCCTATCCAAGTAGAAGGCCAGTGCCCTTCTAACATCCAGGGTATGAAAACAGGACTCTGTCAGAGAGATATGTGGCTTCAGGAAATACACTGATAGACTAATAGATTGGTTAAGGTGAAACTCCGAGAAAACCTTAGGTAAAAATTTAGGATGTGGGCAGAAAGAAACCTTATTCTTGAAGAAGGGGGCGGGGGGGAATCTGCCATTAAGGCACCAATCTCCCATGCTCTATGGGCCAAGTGGATGGCTATTAAAAAGGCAGTCTTCATAGATAAATGGAGTAGAGAACTGGTTGCCATGGCTTCAAATGGCTGTTTCATGAGGTGACTGGGTTCCAGGTTGGGATGGGGTCTTTAGTCGGGGAGTTCCAACTCCTTAATAAACCTAGATGATACAGGATGAGCAAATATGAAAAACCTCACTATAGTCAGATGAAAGGCTGATACTGAGGTTAAACGGACCTTAACTGAGCTAATTAATAACCCTGATTTCTTCATATCCAGGAGACTGAAAGAGGCACAGATTCAGGGAGGAAGCACCAGTGGGAGAATCTCTTCCATTGCTGCAAGTAAATAGTAAGGGTTGCCTTCTTCCATCTATTTAGTACACCAGTTGCACTTCCTCAGAGCAGGAGGATTCTAACCCATGAACTATCTATGAACCATGCCCAGAGGTGAAGAACCCCTAGGTTGGGGTGAAGTGTGCAACCCACATCCTGTGAGAGGAGATAAATAGAAAATGGAAGCAGGCATTCCTGACAGTCCTGAACTCCAACAGATTGATGTGGAGATTTGTTTCTGAGTTGTCCATCTCCCCTGAGCCATGAAAGCATGTGGGGAGCTCCCCATCCCCACAATGATGCATCTGTTGTTAAAATTAGTGATGGAGCTGGGCAACAGAAAGGAACACTCTCACAGACATTGAGTTGATCTCTCCACCAATCCAGGGAGTTCCTCACATAAATAGGAACCGTCACCTGTTTGTTCAAGGTGTGTCTTACTGAAGAACCGGACATTTTGAGCCAATCTTGAAAGCAGCTGAGGCATAGCCTTGCATAATCCGTCACAACAGTGCAAGTTGCCCTGTGTCCCTGGAGCTGGAGACAGTTTCTTATAGTGGTGCAAGGATTCCACTGAATTGTCCATACCAAACATGACAAGGTTATGAACCTATCTAAGGGAAAGCAAGCTTTGAACTCGTCAACAGCCAGGGAAGCCCCTATAAACTGTATCTTATTTATGGGGGTTAATGTGGATGTCCTTACATTTAGCTGAAGACTCGATTCCTAGAAAAGCAAGGACCATCTGGGTGGAAGAAAACACCGCTTCATAAAAATGGCCCTTGAGTGGCCAGTCGTCAAGGTAATGGAAGACTAGGATCACCACTGATTGGCAATAAGCAGCCCCTACTGCCAGGACCTTGGAGAACACCCTTGGGGCCAAGGAGAGACCAAGGGGAAGCCACTTGCTATTGAAACTGATCCTGGCCTACAGAGAATCACAGATATTTCCTGTGCAAAAGGTATATTGCGATATGCAAACAGGTATTTTGTAGGTCAAAGACTGAAAATCAATCCCCCTTCTCCAGTGAAAGAAGTCACCATCCTGAAATTGTGAGGCTTTATAAACTTGTGTAGAAGTCTTAGCTCTAAAATCAGTCTCCACCCTCCATCTTTCTTTGGTACAAGGAAATACTTTGAGTAAAACCCCTCGCCCATGTGAAGAGGAGAGACCAGCTCTATTGCTCCTAACTGGAAGAAAAAGATCACCTCCTTTCTCAACACAAGCTCATAAGAGGGGTCCCTGAAGAGGGAAGGGGAGGGTGAAAGGGAAGGAATGATGTAAAATGGATGTTACAACTCATTTGTCTATAGTAGTCCGCCTCTAGGCATGTTGGAAATAGGAAAGGCATCTCTCTCCAAAGGGAGCTCAACAGATCTATGGAATCCAGAGAACTGAGCAGGAGGTGATCTCTGGGTAGTTTGTGACCCACTACACAGCTTTTATCTGTAGGTGTATAAATGCCCAAGAAATGTAAAGTGGCTCTAGAGTCCTTCAGTGTCCTTCATCTGTGGTCTCCAAGAAAAGCCTACAACCACTGAAGGGGAAGTCCTCAGCAGTGTTCTGTATTTCTCACTGAAACACCAGGAGCTAAAGCCATGACACCCTGCACGTAACAGCCATGGATGCTTGAAGAGTGGTCCTGGCAAATAACTGGCCCTCTGAAATGTTGAACTAGAACTGTTCCTTATGGTCCTGTGGCAGGTGTTCAATAAAGGACATCAGTCTATTATAGTTTGTGAAATTGTATTTGACCATAACTGCCTGATAGCTCTGAATTCTGAACTGCAGAGTTGCTGATTAATAGAACTTCTGGCCAAATAGATCCAGTCTCTTATGGTCCTTGTCACGTGGAGCAGAACTTGAGAGGTGTTGCCTATCCTGCTCTTTTACTGCATCCACGGTCAGGATGGGAGAACAAGATATCAGAGTTCTCAGGGGGAACATAATTCTTTTTATCTGCCCTTTTACACTTTGGTGGAATAGTAGCAGGTGTTTGCCACACTGTCTTAGCTGGATCCAGGAGCACCTTGTTGATGGGTAACGCCACCCTGTAGGGCACTGCTGATCCAGCAATTTGTGTTGTGAATCCCTGACCTCTTCGAGTGGAATTTGAAGAGAGTCAGTTCCCAACTTATTAGGTCTTGAAATTGCCAAAAATCATCAGCCATGGAAGGTGATGGAGGCATAACTGCTTTAGTTGAAGACAAGAATGAAATGGGTGTTTGAGGGGTAGCCTCTTTACCCATGCTGGACTCCCGTTCCTCAAATGTCTCCTTCTGTGCAGGGGAAGAGGGGGTGTGGTTGGAGAGGATAGGACTGAATAAGCCTAGTCTCCCCCTGAGACAGTACTAGTGGTCTGGAGAGCTGCTATCGGTAAGTAGTGCAGGGATCCCAATATATCCCACTGGGGGGACTCCATACAGGAAGGAGTGGGAGTGGCATGCAGAATTGGTTCCACCATCTTTGATAATGGTGACGATCTTCCCTGTGACTGTCAAACAATGGATTTCTGATAGGATACGTAGGGGAATCCTTGACCAAAATAGATGTCCCCTCCATCCTCCTCAACATCATCCAATGCTGAGACCCCCAAAGAAAAAGGGCAGAGAGTCCTGCAGTACCGGGGAAAGGAAGCAGTCTTGAGACCGGCTCATCTGTTACTTGCATAGTTAAATTCTTATGGTACCAATGTGGTGGCTGAAGCGGATAATACCACTGTCAGGCATACCGATGTGGGCATTGATGGAGCCTGCTGCCATTGCTTGCTCAGTACCAAGGGTGCCAACTGGGTAGGCGCCAATTGTGGGACTGAGCCCAACAGTACCAAACCCAGGTGTTTATGCTTCCCCTCCTTGTCCCTGCTAGAACATAATGAAGCTCTGTCACTGTCATGTCTCTGTCTTGAGTTCTGAGGCTTTCCAGTTCTGCCAGTACCAGAAGAGGAGTCCTTTCACCCCACAGTACCAAGCCAAGAGGTTGAAGCTTCGGAGACCATAGACCTCACAGGGGACCCAAGCTTTTTCAGAGCAAGCTCCTTCAGATGAGTTCGTACTCCTCTTTTTGGGAACCTTCTCAGAAGCTTCCAACGATCTCCCCTTCTTATGGGAAGCCTGCACTAAGGTCAAAGGGGCATTGTATCTGTCCAGAGACATATGTACGGGGGGAGGCCCTCCTGACCTGACTCAGATACTTGTTTAAGTGAGCACTCCATCCTTAACAGTCTGAACTTAATCTCCCTGTTTTTCCTTGCCCTAGACTTGAGGGCTAGGCAGAAATTGCACTTCTGGGAGACATGATATTCCCCCAAGCAACCAACACACTTAAAGTGGCTGCCAAGCACAGGTATAGCCTCTTGGCAGGAAAGGCAGCTTTTGTAGCCTGGCAAGCCAGGTACGCCCAGCCAGGAAGACAAGGCTCCCCAAGGAGAAAGGGGGGACGACGACACTATCCTCTCACTACTAAAAGTTACTAACTATAACTACTACCAACAACAAACTATATTAAGTAATCTTAAACAACTATAAGAAGAATACAAAATAGCCGAGGCACACTCAAGGCAGGCACACTAGAGCTCTGTCTCAGGCCAATGCAGTAGAGAAGGAACTGACATTGGTTGGCCCATGCATCCCTATATGGCCTTGGTGTCTGGCACATGGAGGCATAGGGCACACGAGTAGGCCAAACAAGCACTGCTAGCATAAAATCTTTGTTCAAGTGCTTGAAACACATATACACATGAAGTGGAGCACCCATCGGGACACTACTTGAAGAAGTATGATTTTTACAACTCTTATCATGGAAAGCATCCTATATTTCCAACACCATGGTATAAATTGCAAGTCATCATGTAGTACTTGTGGATGTTTCCAAGCTCTTCCCACCGCAGCATTTTTCCCATAATAACCAATACATCAAAGAGAGAGAAAGACAAGATATGTGACAAACAAGACACATCCTAGGAATATTTATTACAATTCCTACATTAGAATTAACATTATCATATTCAGATGTGCCTGCCATGATACAGCACTGAAATCACAGCAGCTGGACAGCATACCCCCTCCTTCCCAAATGCATGCTCAGCAGATGCAATACTAATACTCACAGGCTATACCTGTGCTTGTCACCTTCCCATCCCTTCAAAATAGCTTTTCTATGTTGAAAAGGAACATCAGCCACATATACATTTATGCCAGGTAAGTAAAGAAAAAGCTTTTTGGATAATTTTTTCCTGTTGTGAAATTCATTTTGCTGATCTTACAAAGTCCTAGCACTGAAGATTCAGATAGATGTCTGCCTCCATTTTAACAAAGTACTTTCTTACCAGAATCATCCTCTGTATCAGAGTCTTCTGTTGTGGGTTGAGCTGCAGGTGGTGGCTCAGCCAGTTTGAGGTCATATTTTCCCTCCTTCCCCATCCTGTAAGAATTTGTACTGCCAGTGTCCCACTGAACCCTAATCCAGCCATCCTCTCCCAGTTCACCAATCACACGACCCAAACCTGGAGGGGGCCCATCCTGAGAGAACAGAGATGCTCAGTCAACCAACAATTCAAATCTATGCCAATAATGGGATGACTCAGTTATACAATTTCTCACTAATTTTCCACCAAATTTGTGTGCACGTGTGCAGTAAAACAAAATAATCCATAGTATTTTCTCAAAACTCTTAAGATGTTTTTTCACATTCATATGATAGAAGTTTCATTTTAAACATTTTCAGATTAGAATGATTTTTAATTCAGATGGCAATCAGCGATAATATACTTAAAAAAAAATCACATTGAAACATTTAACACATTGTACAAGTTCCTCACACCAGATGAGCTTCCATGTGCTGCACCCAAGCACAATTGATCCTGCTTCCTTTTAAATGGTGATTTAATAGAGAAAAGTTTCAGTGAAAAATAATTTACTCTACAATAGAAATGAGACCTAGTGTCATATTAAATATTTGTCTTTTTGTTACCTAAAAACCTGCAAATGATATAATTCACATTACGAGTCCATTAATACTGTCTGTAGATTAATCAGACATATTACAAAATGAAAGTGGAACACAATTTTGTACCTGATCACCCCATTTCCAGTCCACCCCTCTCATCACCCTGGTACCAATTTTCATCATGGCTGCCAGCTCTGGCCCAGACACAGGGAGCTGAACTGGTGTGGTTTCCTTCCTTGACTCTTCCAAAACTGTGGCAGAAGCTCCCCGAGAAGCAGCAATCATATCTTCTTCAGTGTTATCAGAACTAGGCCCTAAAGGAAACATCCATAAGAAACAAAGATAGCTTGATACTTAAGACATGACCTTTGTTGCACCAATTAAAACCTTTTAAAACATACAGTACGTGTCATATTAATACTTAAAATGAGACGTTAGTATTCAGAAGACAGGTGTTATCAAGTGATGCAGTCATTCCAGCTTTTAGAGACTATGAAATTAAGTTTTTGAAAATAAAGGGGTTATAACATACATTATCTTTGTTCAAAATAATACAGACTAATGGAAGAAATATTAGGGTGATTTAGTCCAGCATCCAAGCAGGGCTAGTGGCAGAAAGTGTTACATAGGTCTTTTCCACCATTTTTTGTCCAGTGAAAGGATTAGAAAATAGTTGCACTCCTTTTGGTAAGGATATGATCAAGCAAATATGTTGCTGAGTAATATAGCTACATGAAAGCAGAGATCTGTACATGCTAGTCTAGAGGTTCAACTGCTGGTACAATCATGTGAAAAAATTCAAAGAAAACTAGTCTCACTCCTAGTGAACAGAGCTGGAAGCACAGCTAAGGGGAACTTCATGGGAAGGGGGGAGGAGGAGAAAAGAGCAGGTAGTATTTAGCCTTCGCGTAAAGCAAATGTAGCAATAGTGAAGGAGAAAGGGAATTTGGATCATTCAAGTGAAAAAAGAACCTATAAATTAAAGGGTTCACACTCCCAAACTCTAATTTCAGTCTTTATCTGAGAAGAAATGAATGCAACAGGATATAAAACCTGGTTGTCATTTGGTGGAAGTAAGCCTTCAATACCTTAAGTTTACCATTTGTAGACAAAAGTCAAAGAAATTTCATTTATTTAAATTCTCTCCCCACAATCCATCATTGTATTGAGACCAGAAGTTCAAGTGCTCTGAACTCAAGCTCTGCCTACTTAACTCCTCAACCAGGATTGTCATAACAAAACAATAAGTGATGACACAAACATTAAAAAAGGGAGAAAAGCGAAAGTCCATGAAGCCCACTGAGAACCCTACTACTGCCAATCTATTTTGTAGGAAAACCGTTTGGATACTACAATGATGGACTGCAGTACAAAACCCTAATATGAAATAACAATTAAACTACACACACTCCCCTAAATAGGAAACAGATTCTTATCCTAGAAAGTATGGACAGGTCCAGCTTGAGGGGGAAAAAAGTCAATGGGTAACAAGTTTTCCATTCTTTGTCTTGTTACCTTATTCAGTCCATCACCTCAGAGGCGTAGCAAATAGTGAAAAATAAACACAAAAGGAGAGTGGGTAGTGGGGCAAGTAAAACAAAGGAGGCTAGAAGAGTGATCTTCATTTCTCAAGGAATAGTACAAAGGTTTTTTATACACCACTGACTGGGACACGCCTTCCTCAAAGGATGCGTCCTCAGGCACATGCAGCTCCAGCTTGCAGTGCTTGAGAAAGGTGAAAGCTGAGGGTCAAATTGCTGCCTTACAGAATTCTTCATACGAAGAGAGTGAGTTTTATTTACTTGAGTGAGCCTCTATGCCTTCAAAAAAACAACAAGGAGGGAAGAAGTGGGTTTTTTACCCACAAAAGCTTATGCCCAAATAAATCTGTTAGTCTTTAAGGTGCCACCGGACTCCTTGTTGTTTTTGTGGATACAGACTACCCCCTGATACTGGACTCTATGCCTTCAGGTACTATTTACCTGTAAACAAGTAAATAAGCTTATGTAGTATAGAATTTAAGACATCTAACTATGGAAGATTTAGCTCCTGAGACTTTGTGTTGAACAAAACAATGAAAAAGCAAATAATATCCCCATGGGTATGCCGGTCAGTATTCCTGAAGTCTCACACCACCATGACATGGCTGCCCAGTGAGACTAACAGGCAAACCAGAGAAACTTCACACTCTCATCTCACCATGCATTCAAATTCTCAGTCTACTGAATCATTTGAAATTGCCAAAAATCATCAGACCCCAAAACAGAACTCAATCATTAGCTAGTGAAGCCACATCTATATAGGCTTTAGAGCCTTGATTCAATGTAAGTTCTTTTGTTTACCAGTTGACTTTTATTCTTGCCAGGACTTTTCCCCCTTCAAATCTGATTCTACACCTTCAGTAGTCTGCCTATATGTTACAACATTGGTCTAATCTGGTATGGCAATTTCTATGTTTACATCTACTCTGGTAGCTTGATTCAGGTCACAGTAGCCAGCATCAAACACTTCAGAGGAAAGTGTTAGACTGTCCATAAAAGAAGTATTATGAAATAATTTTTCCTTTTCTTCCTGTTCTGAATCCATACAAGTGGTGTTAATTTTTCTGCACTTTGGAAAGGAGGAAATTTTCCATGATGTCTAATATTTAATTCCTCAGCTTGAGTCATTCCTCAGCTTGAGTGGGAGCACTGGTGGAAAAAATATAAATATAACCATTTATAGGTCTTCGTACACTGAAGAAAGAAAACTTCTTTGAGGAGCAATATATTCACCAAGATAAGCCCTCATTCTGTTCATCCACAGGTAACTGGGATGCTGGGAACAGAAGAGAAAGTACCTTGAGATACAGCTCTGCAAGCTCCTTTCAGGAGAGACAGTCACTTCTTTCCCCAATTAATTGAAAACATCTCTCAGAATGGCAGATGTTTAGCCTTACAAGAAATATGAAGTTTTTCCCCAGTGGGTGATCTTAAAAACCTTTTGCTTTTTGCTGCCAATATCTGACTTTGTGTTAACCATCTGCAAAGAACGAAAGATGAACAGTATGATTTTTACTTTTTATTGAAGAGGCCTGCTTTGGAGAGGCCTTCCTTCCTAGCTCTCAGTGTAACAAAATGAGTCCCTGCAGACTATGAATAGAAATGGCATAATTCCACCACTGGAGACTGCTGAAGCAGTACTTCAAATAAAACACCTCTTATATTTAGGAGGACACTTTTTATTTTGCTTTGCAACAGTAGTGGGGGCAATGGCTGCATGGAAAGGAGTGCTCCAGAAACACTGTTTTTTGCTTTGCTGCCCACGTAGTTTTAAAAGGACCTGGAAGGGTTAAAT